TACCATTACAATGTCTATAATTTGGTTACATGGAAACCATACCATTACAATGTCTATAATTTGGTTACATGGAGACCATACCATTACATTATCTATAATTTTCATTACAAACGGAGACCATACCTTTACAATGTCCTCTGAGAGAGCATCCTGTTGTGAGCCCAGGTATAAGAATGGGAGAATTCTTGTTGGCCCAACATTGCTCACTGGTAGACATGGCTGAGATAGGGAGGTCAGTGCAGCACATCTGTAGTTGTTGGTCTTACTCTCACAAAGGGACGGATACATGGCTTGAAAAGCCAGAAATCCTCCTGAAATTATATAACATAAATTGATAATACTTCGGTGATTTTTTTTTTTAATATTGCAGAACAAAGCACATTTTCTGTGTCCCATCATTCACCATTATCTTGTGCTGAACTATATAAGAATAAAATTTTTCTCAAATCTTATAATCTATTTATATCACAATGTTTAATTTCACACTGAAAACATCTACTAAATTCTGGACGTGAAGATGGTATTGTCACATAAATTAATTATTTGTTTTATGTTAAGACTGGGACTAATTATAAGTGTGCAAGTTTTCATTATTAATTCTATACGGAACCTGCACAATATCATGGGGAAAGAACAATGCATGTTTGTAATTTAGTCTGTCTCCAGACTGGAGAGAGAAAAAAATGTGCACTTTATCATCATATTAATTCACTATTATATTATATGCTGAAATAAGCCTGAGAAAATTAAACCAGTCAAATTTGCTAGTTAATCTGTTAAGAGCCTGAAACCACCCTTGAACATAATGAAAAAGAATGATTCATTTCACACTAAAGCCTGGGACCAAAATAAATTTGTTACTTGAAAATATGGAATAAGCCTGGAACCATTTTCTAGGTAATAAAGTAATCATGGTCATTTGTTATTAAAGATTCCTTCCTTTCAATTATTAAATTCCTTTATCATCGTGGAAATATTTCCAATAGTTTCCTTTTCCAGATCATTTTCTTTTCATTAAAACAGCCTGTGGGCCTACTTTTAATTAGGAAGCTCATCACAGAAGGTTTTATGAATGAATGAATTTACTTTTTGCGTTTTAGACAAATGCATAAATTTATTAACCCGTGACTAAATTGCTTTCGGTAAAAATGCAAAATTAAAGAACCAGCTAATAATTATAATGTTCTATACAGTAGCTAGGTCCAGTATAATTATTAGCTATTGCACTACTTAATTTATTTAATGGACAATAAATATGTTGATGTTTATTGTAAATATAACGATGTAGTAAATTTAATTGTGTTATGAATTTAATAAGAAGTCAATATCCAAAATTATAAAATTAGGTAATCATCAGAAAAGAGTCTTGGTAAAAAAGACCGTGTATAAGTCTTGTCTGAACTGGCCATATATTGGTGTCCCTCCATCGCATAGGTAAGAAAGTCCTAATCCCTTCGAGCAATGTGCAACTGTCTAGGTTCTAATTTATGAAATTTCTTCAATTCAACAATGTGTCTATATATAGCTCTTCTTAATTATATATTTGAACAATCCTGAGAAACCTGACCTAACCAAGGGTGAATCTGGCCAATTTTAAGGTCATTTTGAAGAAATATTTAAACAACAAACACCAAGATACCGAAGTTACACCCATATATCTATGTCCAGGGGCAGCAGAATCAACTGTTCATATTGCCCAGGTTGTCCTGCAGTCTGTACGGACAAGTGAAGTGGAAAATTTCAAGAATTTACTATATAAATATCATAAGGCCAAGTTAAGAAATGCTTCAGATAAATATGGACAATCAAGACTAACGGCCCTGATGTCTACATATACTATACATGACTTTGACACCATAAATGTTTATTTTCTAAAAGTTCAAAGGTATGATACTTTAATTAAAATACTTAGTTAATTGGATAAAAAGTACATGTTATGCTATAATGTCCTGAATGATAAATAGTGTTGAAAATAAAAGTGAAACACAATTACAATGTGCTTATATGTTTGACCAGTGAATCTGAACAAAGCATTTGTGTGTATTATAAAACATTTCATAATATTATACAAATAAAATGTATACATTAATCTAAGTACTAATTAAAGTGAAGTTTTCATAAGTATCATAAATTGAATTATCTACGTAAAACGCATAGTTTTCAGTGTATTTACATCCATAACATACATGTATATGAACAAAATTTGATATTGTTTGTAAAACTGTACCTATTTAAGACAATATATCCACTTTACATTTTGTTTTTGGTAATCATTACAAAAACATCTTCCCAATTAGTGGCGTTATTGAATTTTCGCAGCACATTTTTCGCTTCCACTTTGTGTCATGAAATGTACTTTTTGCTTACTTATCCACCAACCAACGTAATTTTCCCAATAACATGCCTAAATAGTTTTAATGGTGACATGGAAACTTTAATTTGCCTCTGGATTAAGTCAAACAATGTTTATTTACATGAACTTTGTGACAATCCAACCAGGATGCAGGGAAACAGCGCAGAACTGTCAGCAACGTTCAATATGGCCTACCTAGAAAACATCGATGCTGCCTCGCAATTTCCAATCAATAAGAGCTTCAATGTAGCCGAGAGTACTGTATTGAACGTAGTATGACTCATTTCCCATATAGATAAATCCTGTTAAAATATCACTACCCCACCTCTTTTACTTCGGTAACAAAGTATTGGACAAAATGTGGCAGATCGCAATAAAAAGTGACCGTGTTTTTGTATTGATATATGCATAGCAATATAGTTAGCACAGCTTTCCACAAGAGCTGACAAATCCTGAGCTTAAACTGTAATTACGAGAATTCACAAATATTGATGGGTTACTTATTGACAACTTTGCTATGGCGTCTCACATACACTGCAACTATGCTATGACATTATAATTACTGAAACATGACTAATTCAGCGCTGGCCGAGTCTTGGAAACGTACGGAGTAACAATGTTTCCCCGTTAAATATCTTTTCATTGAATCAAAATTTATTCAAACTATAATTATGAGTATGCACCAGGAAACTAGGACAATCTGTAACTTTGTGTTATTATTTTAACAACCTATCAACACTTTTTCTTCTATTTTAAATTTCCTCGCAATGATTTTTCACTCGTATATTTAACCATGAATAAGGAAAGGTTAATTTTTTAAGGAAAATAGTGAATAAATAAAATTATGTAAATATGTAACTACATGAGCCTGAAACATTTTGTAATACAGTCTTAATCACATATAATCTTTTTAATATTACGTCATTTTTCTTTTCCTTAGAAACTATGAACTACCGAAGCACTTTAGTGAAAGTTAACCAATCCTGTATATTTCCAACGAAAAAATTGCTAAAATTGCGATACACTCCGGTAGATTAAACATGTTAATATTTTACTAGAGAAGCAACTCATAATTAATGAAGCTTTCAATTCACAATAAAAGTCATCCGCTTTGATGTGTTAGGTAAAAATTGCTGTCTTGTGTCAAATATGTCGTAACACATGCTTCGACATGGAGGAAACCGGTCTGCATGTACAAGATACAGCTTTATTGTAATACAATGTTCGAAACTGTCAAATCACGTGGATACTTTAAAGGTTCATGCCTCCAGTATTGAGTCACAAATTATTTAAAAAAACATTCAAACTTGAGAAAAATGTACTAAGAGTTTATGAAAAGTAGAAATATTCAAGATTCAAGTAATAATTTATATATTATGTGCAATAAATGACTGATTTTGCAGTATTTATCACTAAATTTCTACTGCGAGACTAATTCAGTTAGGGCTTTTTTTTGCATATTCTGACCTTATTTAGTAATTTTTTTATTTTTTTTGTACGCATGCTGCTCGAAAACCCTTTACCCTACTGGAACCGAAACTGATCTATGATAAAGACAGCTAGGCCAGCCTGAACATAATTATGTGCAGTCTAAATTTCTAAATTTTATCTGAAAATTAAAGACATTCAGGAGGTCAAAGGTTAAAATATTGCCATTAAGTTGATACTTCAGATGGCTTGTTGTTTAATTTTTACAATATTAATTCTTCCCTAAAATTTAGAATATAAAGTTGTTTTTTTTCTTGGGCTGATATCATAGATTCATCACTGGGTTGAAATGATTTTATTTAGTGATATTTTAAATACTGGAAAAAAACATTTTTTTTAAAAGAGTTGATACCAAAAGTATAATGTTAAATAATTTGTGTTACGATAAATTTCCCCATATAAGCTATTAATATACCCTTCATGCCATATTTGTCACTGTGTGTTTTAAAACAAAAGTTTATAAAGATTTATATCTATGTTCTTTTGGAAAGTAAGAAAATTGTATGTTCATGAACTGTAAACAAGGGATTGGCTAAAGCTATTTTTGATTTTATAAAATGGACATTTGAAATATTTATACAGAGATAATTGCATATCTTAATTCAACCCTTAACCTGCTGGAACCGTAAGTGATAAAACCCTTTAACCATCAGTATAAAGCCAGGTCCGAGCTTGCACATGCTCGTAGTCTGACCAGGCTCTATACCGTTGACTGACCACAACTTCAAATTTTCAACATGAGCAGAATATACCCACTGTAGACCAATCCACTTTAACATAGACCTAAAAGTGGTTTTGATAGTTTTAGGTCACAATTCCGGCTTTTATATAATGACCATTCCTATTTATTTCTGAAAAACATGTTAAGCCTAAAACAATCCTTGAAGAAGGTGATATAATTTTTTAACATGAACCAATATCATGTTATAAAACATGAAAACTGTGAGAATATAATTAAAGTTGGGTGAATCACCGCTGTATGTCGGGTGAATCATTATCAATTTTTTATACTGATAACCAAACTGTTATTTAAAGTGATCATTTTCTTGTCCTTTAAAACAAACAAAAAACATGTCCTCATATTTTTCAGCATATATCAAAAACATATGTTTAATCTAAACATTTAAGTAAACCATTTACAACATATGACTTTGCAACATTATGATTACCATTAAAGTCGGATGAATCATCAATAATCTGGGGCAAACCATTACAAAAACTGGGACGATTAAAGTCATGAGCAGCCTAGGAATTAATTCAAATCTTAAGCTGGTAGGTACCAAAAAATATGGGCATCATTCTAAAGGTTATAGCTAAAATATGGGGTGAAATCTATGGAAAGTTTGGATCTGAAATATTGGGTTAAATATTTAGTCGCGTGTCATCGTTTGTAGAAATCACAGTCAAGTACTTTCATTCCAAATTATAAAGATAATTTTTGCCTTGGCACCAACATCAGGCACGAAAACT